GTTAGAAAAGCAATAAACACGACACGTCACTGCAAGATGCCTTTAAAGAAAAAGAAGGTCACCACGTTTGAGAGAAAAATTCTGTTAGCAACGTCGACGATACCAAAAAGGTGAATGACTGTCCGCCCGTCACAAATAACCTTCGAGTGGATAAGATGTTACCTGCAGTGCCAAAGACAATACCTCTCACATCACAGAGTAAACTATAGCGCAAATCAATAAATTCAATTATCGAAGATACTACCGGAGTTGTTGAGTTTTATCCTAAAAATCAAAAAGCAGCCTCACAGCAGGCCCACCAAACTATTACTGTCTGCATCTCCACCACCCATGCGACAGTACTCTTCACTTCGCCTATGTCTCTGAACATATTTCTCAGGCAATCTATGACAGATATGCACTCATCGCTTCACACCAACAAATTAAAAAAACGCGATTTTTCCAAAATTACTGCCATTAAAAACACACTCTTATCACCCAATGTCACAATCGGATGACTATAATGAAAAGAAAACACCAACCGTCATCGAATTTCTTGAAGAGCTTGATAAAAAACACGGTGAGGGTGAGTTTAACCAGTTTCTAGACATATTCTTGGAGCACAGAATTGATGTATCAAGCATTAAACACCTGAATGATAACTATTTCGATCAAATGGGTATCGAGAAAATTGGGCTTAGAATTATTATTGTTCAGGCGGCGATGAGTATGAATAATTGTTACTTCTAATCGCTCTATGTATATGCTTACTATTACTTCTATATTTACCATAGTCTTTGGTTTCTTTCAATTATCATCATGACGTCTTGACATTAGTAAACGTTATAGTATGTGTTTATTACTTGATAATAAAGTTATAAATCTGGATGGTAAATGGAATTCCGAAAGAAGGATTTAGCTAACTCGGGTGTAATTCGAGCACATGCCATTACTATTGGATAGATAGGGTCTTCACAAGCAGACACAAAATCTCTCCATCTTTTCAACCATTGCTTTATGAAGAAAACGCATGTTCTATAGGGTTAAGATCAAGGGAATGTGATGGAAGAAACAGTACACACCCACCTAATTCTTCGACAACTGAAATCCATTCTTGATTGTGATGAATCCGAGCATTGTCAAGGATAATAACACTGTTCGTTCCAAGATATGGATTCATATTTGAAATCTGAAGATTTATAGTTAGCACGAAGCTATGGCACTAAAAGTCATAACTTACCACTTTCGAAAATATGAAAATTTTCCTTATCATAACCACCTATCCAATGATTCCCTCAAGCGATAAGGCCGGCAAGATACTATAACGTTTTCCTCTAACAAAGACGATTTTCTTGTATTCATTAATGCATACCCATACTCATGAGACAGCGATCTTTCATCCGTTGCACTCTCATCGATGAATATTAGCTGCTCTGCAGAATACACCCCAACCATGGTCATGAAAACGCTTCGTAACATTTCATATTTCGTTCCGCCGCAGATTTATGAAGCTGATTTTGAAAAAAAAGTTTGTCAGAGTTGATAAGGATGATAGGATGGCTTAGCGAGATTTTTCTAATCTAACCAAAACAGAAACGATGCCGACGGCGTTTGTTTTACATCAATTGCCTCGCATGTGTGCTACCTTCATTGCAATTCTGAACAAAGAGCTCAGCAACAAAAAAATTTTATCTATTGCAAATATAGTTAGCAAAAAAAGGGTGTGCCTCACAACAACAACAACAACAATAACAACAACAACAACAATAGATCTCGAGAACTCAATTTCCCAATATATTGTATATACCATATTCCATAATATCGCTGACCTCTTGTACCTGACTCTGAAGAATTCAAAACTAAACAGCTTACAGTATAGCTTTGACGGCAATTTGGAAATACCTGTATTTTTCACAGTGTTACTCTTCGGGAAGGCAGCCGTGCAATATTTTCGAGACCCAGTTGACTGAATCGCCGCCGATTATTCTATCGAACAATTAAACGAAACGCTCTGCTACCGTTCAGTGTTCCGAAAAGGCTCGTTGTTCGGATATCTCAAAAGACGCAGCAAAAGCGTAACAACGTAAGGCTCAGAATTTATATTTATTTCTAAGTTTTGCTATTTGTTAGCGTACGAAATATAACACTAACGGTAATTAATAACAACCAATACTTAACGTACAAATTAAAAGCTTAACGACATTCAACTTACAATACTCTATCGTCTCACGCAACATATTCTCGCAACTGTACAGCTTGGCAGTTTCCGACATGCATTCGAAAAAGCACCATCGATCCTAGTACGTGTAACATTTCTACAAGGTACTTTACTTATTATTATCAATTAGAACTCTACGTATATGCCACTATCCGTGTATCTCAATCACCTGATCATCGAAGAGGCTACGAATCAGGATGAAGAACCTCATAAATTCGTATCGCGTGACTTGCGTTTCCACGTGGTCAATTACGCATTATGGCTTTACTGGGTCCTCGAAGAAGTTCGCTTGCCGCGTAGAAGCAGTGAGGAGGCGGCGGCGGTGCAGCCCAGCGTTATGGTCGACAGAGTCGAACCCCCGGAAAGAACTTAAAAGGAGAATTCATTGAAGAAGTCAATAATGCTGTCAATGCCGCATGAATGAAATGTCCCCGGGGAACCCACTACACGAGTATTGCATCTATTGCCCAGAAAGGTTTGCAGATAATTCATCCCATATACATTTAACTAATGACAATTTGTTGACAATGTTAAAGTCTTATCGTTGTTATTATTAGCTCTTGTTCGGTCTCCCTTACGTGAGGACAGCTACAATAAAGTTATCGGAGCGTGCGCATTAGTCAGAGAGATTGAGGAATTGCTGTCAAAACCAAGTTACGAAGAAAGAGAAGACGAAAGCACTCTTCAAAGATTATGTGAAAAGTTCAACGCCCATGATATTCTAATTAATGATACGGTATGCAGTAAGAATGTTGTATATATAGACATCGTTTCATGGAATGATCGTGTTGCTGAACTAATTAATATCTTTATTAGTTTTCCTCTACAAACAATCTGTTCCGAGAGTTTTGTGTGTACGGAACGAAAGCGGATTGCCAAAAAGCCAGAAAGACTCCGTGAGCATGCCACAGAGCAAGTTTACCCGACAGTCGAATTTGAACATGGCGATAAAACCGAAGTCGGAGAGAAAGGATTACGTATTGCTCTGGCTAGAGCAGTTTATTCGCGGGCGGGAAATGGATGATTGTTTGTCTGGTAGTCTGTACACTTTTTCCTCTGTACATGTTGAAGTCTCAAAACGACACGTGCAACGAAAACGGAGAATCGTACGCGTATTCTAGTTACGTATCATGTTGGACTATGTCTTTGTGGTGCATCATTTGTTGTAGCAATGAATTATGGTCAGCTGGCACAGTGTGGTGTCCCCGATAGAATGCTAGCATCCGGTTATTTTTAATGATGCATCGTTCAAAGATGAAGAAGACGCTTTTGCGGAGACGGATAATATCAAGAAGCCAGTTTCACCATCATCGACAAGCCTATTAAGCTGGGGACGGAAGAGAAGAATGCGGAAGAATGGTTGAATGGGAGGTGTACAAGCACTACTTTATAGGATCAGGAGGATTGCTGATATGATGTGCTCTTGATGATTCTGTTGTTTACTGAAGTGATCAAAAAGCAGCTTAACAAGGATTTGCCATTTTGCAAGTTGGACAAGGTGAGCTAGCTTCCGAACATGGGTGTTGATGAGAACAGACACGTATACTAGTGTACTTGTATGCATAGTTACTCCTAACAAGCGTATTTATATCTCTGTTACAAATCGCAATGATGAGCTGCATATCGTATATACAAATGCGCTTATTCACAATCTGTTTGCCAGTTATTAATCATCTACAATGGCTTTTTTCTTTTAGCGATTTAGCGCTTGCTGATCCACCACCGAACAATTTTTTCTCCATAAATGTCAGCATAAGGTGAGATTATACTTGCCACTTGTGTGTTATTATTTATTATATCATTATGTGACTTTACTTACTAACGATAATGTTAAACGTTAGAATTATTTATTCAAGGCCAAACGGCGGCGGCACGTTTATGGTTACGACCATTATTTTGTCACGTTCAGTTTTGAAAGTGTCAATTTTGACTTGGGGTTTTTAAATGTTATCAATATTGTCGTTTGGATCGACAAAGATAGAATATATTGATAGATGGATTTAGCAACGATTACTTGTAAAGTGTATCTACTATGAATAAACAATACGTGTATTTATTAACATTTCCTATGACTCAAAATTGATTTTGCTTAACTAAAGTATTTCATCATCACGGTCAACTACTACAAGATACAGTGTGGGAAGAAAAAACTTGCCCTTCGTAATTTTGTAATAACTCAGCAACCATCAATGCAAATTATTTCATTAATAGCTC